ACGATGGACTACGAAGAATTGCCCAACGACTCTTAAGTACACCAAAACATCTCTCAATCACATTCCTAGCATGTGAATGTTTCATATTATAATACTCTTGTGCATTCCTAGGTTGTGTTCCATCTTCCCATTCCTTTAGATGGTACCGTTGGCCACGAAATGGAGCTAGGAAACCTTTACAATTGGTGTATCCAGCATCAACAAGATAGTAACATCCTGTTAAAAGAATTGATAAGCATAAATTTAACATTTTGTAACTGTAACAACGAATGATGTAACAAAGAACGAGTAAACTACTTTACTAGTAACAAACATACTTACCGTTTGGAACACGTAAACCATTTGCCCTACGTAGAGCATCGCGTAATACTCTACCATCAGCTGCAGATCCTTCCCATCCAGGCAACACATATATAAATTCCATATCTCGTGTGCATACTCCTAAGACGTTTGTTGCAACAGCTCCATGTCGATTACGGTATTTAGGTCTCTCTGTCATAGGCACTCTCACCCTAATATAGGTTCCATCTAGTGCACCTAGGCAATTCTATAATATATAAAAGATATAATTACTAATTACACCATGGGTGCTACCCATTTTAAACATAACACAGAAATAGGTACGTACCTTAAACCATTTCCACCTATCATCAGTTGAGTTATCTGCAACCGGCTCAGGTCTAACAAATAACACTCCATGAAGTCGAATGATTGAATGCAATACATTGTGAAAGTACTTACTAACCGTTTGTCCAGATCTCATAAAATGGAAATTTATAACTCTATTTTTCTCATGGTGAGCAATGGTATGTAAAAACATAGCCACTTGCTCATCTACTTGCAAATACTTAGACGCTTTCAACCCACCCCTAGTTTCTAGCAATGTGCACAAATTAGTGAAGGCATTTCTATTCATCCTTAATTGATCTCTGCATATGACATCACTTGCGTAAGCTAGTTGATAAACATATTGCCTATGAACAAACACGTCGAGCACATAAAGTTGTCTCTGTAGTTGTATTGGTTCTATATCCTCCATCACCACTCTTTCCATCAATTCAAAGAACCATTGCACTACATGCATAATATTCAACCAATGTAAAAGCAAAGCCACTATCTTCCTCTTTCTCAGACTTTCACTTTTGACTAATCCTAAGCGAGCCATTATCCTACAATAAAACAACCAAAGCGAGCCATTTAAATGCACGCTCATGAGTTTAATTTAATAATAGCAATGAAGTGAACAATACATTGCTATAACAATTCCTATGGATATGCCATCAACAAGGTATGAAGTCGACATCCATATGCGAGAGGCTTCTAAATTGTAGCACCAATTATCACATTGTAGCACCAACTAACAATATGGAAAAAAGTATGCATATAAAAACAAAAGAGAAAGCGTGAATATATAAAAGCAAGGAAAGAAAGACTACCTGGAGCTTCGTAAGCCTTCTACGGATGGCCTCTTAGGATGGAGATCGAGAGGCAAGTATTTTTTCTCTTGATGAAAAGCCTAACCACCTTTCTGCAAAACCAATATTCAAAAATACACAAAACTGATATTCTGCAAAATAATCAATCCAAATTCAACCCAAAAAGACAATAACAAAATCACATTGCCGTTTTCCGAGTGGAAAGCCATCACAAATAACATGTATCACACCTCATTACAAATTTTGAGTGATGAAGACCTTGGAGTTTTGGGGATTATGATTTGCTAAGTAAATATGTAAAAGGCAGAAACATGTTTCAAAGCACATTCATTTTCCAAGTTTTCCTCCCTGTTTTCAGTTCCCATCCTTTATGCAGTGGGATTTGGGATTTCTTTCAAAAAATCAAAACAAACCCAGAACAGAGATCTCCAAGAACCACGAAGGAAGAAGAGGGAAGATTGTACCTGCGGTCGTTTCTCGTCGTCAGCGTCAACAGTCGATCGACTTTCCGTCCGTCAAGTGTCTGCGCTGGCCTCAGTTGGAGTCGTGGTCGAGGGGAGATGTGGCGAGAGGAGATGCGGCTAGGGCTCCTTTTCTTTTGATTGGGGACGAGGGGAGACGAGGGCCAAATTGGGTGAAAAAAATAAATTGGCGGAATGGAAAGGCCATTCAAGCCACCCCCCGCCTGAATGAAGATTCACTCAAATTGAGTGAATCAGCTTTCCCACGGAAAGCAATTCCGTGCCAAAATAAACCAACCAAACAATGGAATTATCAGAATTGTGATTCCTTTCCATTCCATTCCTTCCAACCAAACATGCCCTCAATTCATTAATCAAGGATCTAATGTCATCTCGCAACCTCTCCCGAGTGCCTCACAAGGAATTATATTTAAATACCCAAAACAATATCCCTATTCGAAATGAATATTTAAACACAAATTAAGCTTCGCCTTTAGAATTAGAAAATAGGAATATTGATCGCCTCCCGGCCTCACAATGACCTAAATCCTAATTTGATTATCTGAGCGTTGATCTCCTCCTAGTCTCACAACAACCTAGACTGTGTTTCTCAAATCTAGATAAAGAACTCAATCTCTCCCAAGCATCAAATTCACAATCTAAAAAAATCATCTAACTCATTGGCCAAATAAATTAGAAGCATTAAGCATAGAGAAAACTCGAATTCTAAACTTGAATTGGTGAAATGAACGGGGCCTAACAATATTCGAAATGCTTGTTCTTAGATTCATAATTCAAATCCACGTATTGCTGAGTTTAAGAGGTATTATAAAGTAGATGGTATGAGGCCTAGAAAGTTTGGACTTAACATGCCTGTTAGGTGGAATTCAACATATATGTTGTTAAAAAGAATGCATCGCCATATAAAAATGTTATTATTTTTTTTTACAATACAAAAATGAGCAGTGCAGTGTTGCAAGAAAGTGACTGATTCATTTATGAAAGATTTGTGACTTTTTTGGAAGTTTTTAACAACTGTACTATTTTATTATTCAGTATTTATTATCCTACTACTCCAATGGTGTTGCGTCAAATTTATGAGATTTCTGACTTATTTGAAACATATAGATATGATGCATTATTTAAACCTATGGTAGAAAAGATGGAAGCAAAGTTTAGGAAATATTGGTCTGAAATTCCTCTATTGTATTGTTTAGCAATTATTTTGGATCCTAGAGTAAAATTATATGGTTTTTGAAAATGCTCTTTCTCATATCCGTGCCCAAATGGGCATAAATTATTCTTCCCAAGTTGCTAACACACGTGAGAAGTTGTTTGAGATTTATGCAATTTACGAGAACAGGTTCTGTAATTTGACAACTGAACAAACGCAACAAGATTAGCCGACTCATTCAGAAAAGAAGTTTTAGAATTTTATATCTTCTCATCGTGGTAGCTCTAGTTCATCATCAAGTGCAAGTTTCATGGCTCCGCCATGAACACCAACAATGACAATACAGGGAGCTCAACGGCTACCTCGAAACAGAATTCTCGGTGATGGATGGTGCTGATAATGATGATAATTATAAAATTTTGGCACGGTGGAGGTTACAAGGTGTAAGATTTTCTGTTCTTTCAATATTAGTACGTGATATCTTGACTATTACAGTATCAATGATGTCTTCAGAATATGTCTTTAGCACAGCTACGAGGATAACTGAAGAAAAGAGGACTTTGTTGACTCTAAAAATGGTTGAGTCAGGGCCGAGCAGGGCCATATATGCTTAATTAGGGCCCGGCTGAATTTCTCTTTTGGACAGCTTGACCCGGCCCAAACTTTCAGCATTAATTCTCCCGAATAAAAATCTTGTCCGATGTCCAACAGAGAAAAGAAATTGATTTCATCCTCTATTAGAAGCAGCTTTAGACTATTGATTGAAATCTTTGCTATCAGTTTGTACTGGTCAAGAAAGGACCCTAACTTGAAATTATTTTACCTTAAAAAAATAACAAATAATGATAATAACTTGAAATGATTTTGTTCAAAGAAAAAAAACTCAGGGTACGACCCACTTTATAATTATGCTCTAAAACAAAAACTAGTATTGTCTGCCGCGAATAAGGTAAAACAATGAAACTAGGAAAGGGTGTGTTTCACGTTGTATATGACCAATATGTTTGAACGGATTCAGTTGCAAATAGAGTTGACCATTTGTATTCGCGTGTCGTGTTCAGATTGGTACGATTATGACAAGACACGATTAGAGAGAACACGAGCACGACACGATTAATAAATGTATTAAGAACTCAAACACGAACACGAAACGTTTATTACATGGGTAACACGAAACGATACGCGAACGCGTTTATTAAACAGGCCGTGACGGACTGACACAAAAAATATTTTTACGACCCGTTTATAATCTAACTAATAGGACATGGTAGGAAAATTAATACTTTTATATTTAGAAAGAACACTAATCAACTAGTAAATATTAATTATATTTTTTTGCATATTTATGGGCCTTAAACGATGGTGTTCGTACCGTGTCATGTTGATATGTTTAAAATTCATATAATTAAACGTGTTAAGCGGGTTGGCATATGTCCAGCACATTAATTTTCATTTTATTAAGGTCAACCCGTTAATGGCCCATATATTAAACGTTCGGTCCAAACCTATTTAAGTACATGTCATTTTTGTACCGCTTTATCGTACCGTGTCTGAAATTACCGGCCCTAGTTATAAACCTCTGCAAAAGCTACCTAACAGATGAAAGATGTAACAAGTTTCCATCTCTTTCTTATTTTATACCTTCAGTTTTAGTTTAACAGTAAATTAATGGTAAAAAATTAAAATTAAAATTATTGCTATTGCAAGGACATATGAATAGGTCACTGAAGAGCAATGTTATTGGATGCCACCCACTGATAGAAGGTGGAACCCACAGTATGAGACCCACTGGTGCTGCATTTTTCATCACTGAATTGTGTTTTTTGAAGAGCATGAAGAGAACCAGAAACAAGTTGATGAATATATTATTAACAATATCCAATATTCGTTCGGGATAGTGACAAAGCGTTATTTTTTGACACAAGAAGGTTTGTAAAGCACAATGAAATCCAGTTAGAATCTGATTACTAATAATTTTTATTTAACAAACCCTGTTAAACCCCAAACCTAAAAAATAAATGCCTATAAACCCATAAGAACCAATTGAGAAATCCCACCAATGGAACATTTTAAAAAGTTAGTTCTTTTGAACTATACAAATGCCAAAACCATCTAACCTATCAGGTCATAAAAATAGTATTTCTGACCAACACCATTAATTCCTTGAGTTAAGATTTCACAACATCGAGAGCTTTCCCCCAAAACGATACATAACCTGCAAAAGAAAAACAAGATATCAATAACCAAATTCATAGATAAATAATTTGGAGCAGAAAGTTATGAAAGCTAACAATGAGGGGCAAAAATTGAGTTGAAAAGATTGATGAAGCTCCGAAACGATCTGAACTTTACCATTATAGGTGTTCTAAAGGCTCAATTAAATGCTGGTAGGAAGGTAGATCCTGATAATGTCTTTCATTCGGAGTTTATGGCGGCATGTCGGGCACTTGCGCTGAACTTTAATTGCTGCTTCAATGCACTTCTTGCAGAAAATATGGCCGCATTTTGTAGACGTCTCTTCACTCATTGGACCTATGCATATCGGGCAATTGAAGGAGAGTGCCTCTGATGGTGAAATAACCGTGTCATCCTTTGTCTGCATCAGTAATTCAGGTTTTAGATTTAAACCCAAGCAGTTGTACTTAATGAAAATAATTGATGGAAAAAAAAATGACATTCAGCGTAGTTTATCTATCACCCAGGAGCTTAAATAATTATCAGATTCTCTGAATCAATGAAGAATAAAACACGGTGAAGAAAATCTTAAACATATGAACCTCAATGCAAGATGCAGGATCTGACACAAATAAAACATGAACAATGTTCTAATTTAACTGTCCTAGTTTTGTAATAAACAAACTTTTGGTGTACGAAGGATAAAGCAAAAGGAATATCATAAATAGGAACAAATTGTTGATGACCTGAACTTTGCAACTATCTTCTGAATTCATGTAAATCTCCCAGTTCAAAACTGCTTGATTTCTCAATAATCTTCTACGCTTGTTGCGGTGAACGGTAACAGGATATGAAGTTGATGCTTCTGCATATGAATTACACATGTAAGTCTATGAACAATAAGGAGGAGGGAAGATAGCCAACAAGTGACTACTAAGCCATAGTTTCAAGACTTAAACAAGGCCCATCTAGCTCATTTGTACAAGCATCAATGAAGAGGACAAGAAAAAGAAAAGAGACAGTCCATTGTAGGTTATCAAGAAAAGTACACAACAAAAACTATCAGAAAGGCACAAAACACATAATTGCACTAATTTGTAGTGAGTAAGAATAGAATGCTTCAGGAAGTCTGAATAAAGAAACACTGATTTTGTGTCAGAAAACGGTGAGCATATAGCTGTAATAAACAAAATGGAAACAAAATTAATCTTGTTACTTTATAGATTAAAGTAAATAAATAATTATTACCACTTAAAGAGTATGTTTGCATAGAGCAAACATGCATCTACTTATGCAAACATACATCTACTAAGAGCGAAAATATATAATAGACACATAATTTCATCAGGCACTATAGATTTGATGTGGTACTCATGTTGCCAACATATCATTGCACAGCATTAAGTGTTCAAAAAGAAATGGAAAATTATACAGAATGAAAATATCAGGTGCCATAGAACGGTAAAGGATATTCTTCTAAGCACAATCGTATTATTCTATCATGCATAAGCTATATATATTCAATTGCTTCATTGTCTCAAATCAACAACTAGAATAAGGGGGAAAAGAGTAAATGGAAGAAATATGTCAACAAACCTGAACGATTATTGTTCACTTCAGTATTGGCATGGGTTACAACTGTCACCTCAAGGTTTCTGCTGGAATTGTTCTTCGCCTGACAATAAGATGCTCAGTTAATAAAAAGCATGATAGCAAAAATAAAATGAATCACGAAGAAAATAGGAGTATCATACTTCAGCAAACATTGTTGGTGAAATTATGACAACGTCATCGTCGATGACCTCAAAATCCTTCACATTTTGTGGGGCTTGAGGTTTTCCATAGTCAGAAGGAACAGGAGGGTCATTTAGATCCAAGTCTAAAATCTTTTTTCCCCTCTGAGAATCACTCATTTCCTCTCCTAGTCTCTGCTGTATTTCCGACGTCGTCATACTATCATCAAAGCTCAATGATCCTATAAATTGATAAATTCAGAACAAAATATCTTCCACTCAAAAAGAACTTTATACACTTTCAAAGAACATGAAATAATATTACAAGAAAAAATATTAGATAAAATGAACCATAACATTTTGTAGTTGACGAAGATTGACAAGATACCCGGAAAATAAAGAAGTTGGAAAAACAACTCTAACTTAAGAAACCAATTGTTGGGTTATTGATTCCCAATCCCACTAAATCTCTCAAATATAACATAACAACAGAAAAACAAGAGTCCTAATCTAAGTGAAATTCTAGCTAAACAAAATTAAAAGTTCCTCATAAAACATAAATTTCTAATTTTCCCGCATCAGAAGTAATAAAAAGGACCGTTTCTATACATAAATACTATTTCAATTTCATTTCATTTGAAGAAGAGTTGTATTTTAAATGAAATTCTATAAAATGAAAACTTCATAATCAAACAAAAATTTCTAACTTTCCCTAAATCAGAAAAAAAAAGAGAGCCGTTTCTATATAACTTCTAATGAAATTTCATTTCCTATATCTTCGTCAGATGTTGACGAAGCTCCTAAATCTCCTTTATGTTCACAGAACAAGAAAAAATCTTCGAGAATTCAAAAAAAAAAAAAAAAACACAAATCAAAATAGCCATAGAGATAAATTTCCTAAAGATCAACAACCCTAGATTCTCATCTACGCTCAAATTTCCAAAATTTGTCACCAAAGCCACAAAATTCAAAAGCCAGAAATAGAAATATAAAAACCAACGGCTGATCAAACACAACCAATTGAATCAACAATCACAAAAACCGAACCAAAACCAAACAAATCGATCTCATCCAAATCGCAATCATAACAAGAACCAGATTTTGACTTTTCATACCTGAAGGCTGCGACATGGAGAGAGATGAGAGAGAAAACCAAAGCGATCGCCGAATCGCAAAAGAATTGATAAAAAAAAAAAAAAAAAGAAGATCGAATTCGTGAGATACAAGTTAAGGATAATGAACAGAACAACGATCCTCGCAAGATCTAAAGAATCATCCAACACACACATATATATAGATATATTTATGTATAAATACGTCCGAAATTAGGATCTAATATTCTGGATTTCGAACGAAGATTGCTTGAAAGTTCATATAAATAAACAAATGAACAAACAAAAAGTCAGTAATAGACTCTCTTTTCTTTTCTCCTTTTTCTCTTTCCGTTTTTTCTCATCGACTTCCCAACTGTCCACTCTCTTCTTCCGCGTCAGTTCCTCATTTTTATTTATCATCATAATAATAAATTTATTCATCAATAAAAATAATTAAATAAAAATTTGCGTTTTTCTTCTCCTCATTATTTATTGTTATAATTATTCACCCTCTTTTAGCGTGCCGGGGAGGGAGAACAACTCCGACCAGTATCGTCACGTGGAGTTTGGTGGCCCAATGAGGTTGCGACACCTGTCAATTGACCAAAAAGTCGCTCTTTTTTTTGTTTGACTGTTTTTGTGAAAATTAACGGACGAAGAAACAAGCACAAAAACGACAGTGGTGTGTTGGTGTGTTTCGGTGATAAGTCGGCATGTGTATCATTTGACGTGATACGATTAATGATTTTGTCGAGTTCACATTTTGTCGTTTAGACCGATTTTTTTTCTTCTTTCTTTTTTTGGCCCTTTTTCTTCGAGGAGAAAAAAATAGTGTAGTCAAACTCGTCCAACTTGATAGAGATTAGCGATTAATCTTTTTTGTTAGAATTTTCATTATCCCAAACGTTAATGATACTCATAGCGATTATATGGAGCTAATCTAGCTTCTAGCGTTTTGACACGTGTTTCTTGCTCTCAAACGATAGCAACAATGGAAAATTCTAGGATTTTCCAAGTTTAATATTTGCGGTAAAGTGCAAAAACCGGAATTAAAATGGATAAAATCTATGAAGTTTCGATGTTGTCCATGCTAACATAGTGGTCGTTGTCACATGTTGAATACCCTCTAAAAACTCGACAGAGGTTAAAAGGGGTTTACAAACAAAAGAAACATAAAATGCCAATTAAAACATATATGTTACGGCATATGCCCTTATATATTATTTTAGAGTATGCTGCGTATATGGTTAATTTTTGTGTTATGTAATCTATTTGTTGTTTCTCATAATATTCCACCTATTTACTTTTCCTGTTTGGCTCTAATTGATTGTTTGTAATCAATTATTTGAATTTTTTTTATTATTGTATTTAAATTTATGCATTTTATTTCTTTTTTTTTAAGATTACAGAATCGATACATTTTTTTCTCTTTTTTTTCCTTAAAAGTACATTTCTCTTTTTTTTTAATTTTTGTTTATTTTATTTTGAGTGCGTCTATTGACATCCCTTTTTTTTTTTTTTTTTTTTTTTTTTTTTTTTTTTTTTACTTTTCATATATGTATTATTAAACCACTCCTTATTCTACTTGTTGCACTCATCTTAAAATTTTGAAAAAGCCCCCGCAAGTAAATCAACTATAATTCTTACCCCCGCAAGTAAATCAACTATAATTCTTACTTATTACACCCATCTTAATTGTTTTTTTTTTTAAAGGTAGTACAACTAAATTGTATTATTTTTTTCTCTTTTTTTTCATCCACTCACTAATTAAACTTATCAAAGTAAATCAACTATAATTCTACATTCACACACATATTATTAAACTACTTTCATTTTACTTGTTACACTCATTTCAATTGTTTTTTTTTTAAAAGGTAGTACAACTAAATTGTATTAATTTTTTCTCTTTTTTTTCATCTACTCACTAACTAAACTTATCATTCTCTTTTTTTTATAGTCTTTTTTCATATATATATGAAATTGAAGTATGGTTTTTTTAGGAAGAGATACGATTAATAAGAACAAATAACATGTATATATCTGTTAAAACGCAATGATTTTATTATCCTTGCGAATGAAGCATAAATTAAGTGTAACCTAAATAAAAATAACATGTATCTTTAGTTTAAAAAAAAAAAAAAAAAACTATATATGTATAGACAATGCTTCTTCTGTAATTTGCGTATCGTCGCTTCCATTAAGATAAAAAAATGTCAAATATGCCGAAGTATCACTAGAGTAGAAGACGAGTGCAAAATAAAAAAAATTAAAAAAAAAAAAAAAAAAAAAAAAAAAAAAAAACTCGTGTGTGAAAAATAAAAAAGTGGGTGTCAATAGAATGCATCCTTTTATTTTTCATTTTTCTTGATAATGATATTTTCATTATTATAATGAAATCACTTGTTTTATGAACTCATGTATTCTTGCATGTTTATTATTTAAGACTTTTTGCCAACTTTTTATATTCAGGATGTTTCATAACGTTATAATCATTAAAATAATGCAATTTGTATTTGATTTTTCCCGAGTCATCATAAACTTTATATTTATTCTTTTTCATAACTCTAAAATCATGACAATAATGATTCAACCTTTTATGTATTCATGAATACGTATATATTGTTTGTTTGAGACTTCTTTCTTTGAATATCTAATCTCATTATTATAAAGAAAGCAGAGTTGTAATAAAGAACCAAGAAACAAGAGAGTTTGTTATTCCTTAACAAGTGATATTCAGGGCGTAAAAAACTGCATAACTATAATGAAGACCATCAATACCATAATGAAATTGTCAATATCTGTAATACCCGAATATATTAATTTAGATTAATTAATTTAATTCAGTTATTGTTAGTGTTGATTGTTCTAAAGATTATTGATTTATTTTCAATTATAATCATTTCATTATAATTTTTTTCAAAATTTAAAAATTAAATTTAAAAATTGTAGTTTGATCCCTCAAGTTTTAAATATTTATAATTTTGTCCAAACTATTTGAAAACTTTACAAAAAGGTCCTTAATGGATTTTTACACTTATTTTACATATTATGTGGTGGAAATATTTTGAAAAGACCGATTTAGGTTCAAGACCTTGTCTATAGACTTCTTTATAACAAAAGCTCTTAAAAGGAGATTTTAGTAATTTTAACTTGTGGTCCCTTTAAGGCCCAAAAACCTCCCTTCCAATTATTTTTAGGAAGAAAGAGGAAAATAAGCCAAAACTTGAGATGAATTAAAATTAATAGGCTAATAGTTTACATAAGTTAATAAATAGGTCAAATTACTATTTTTGTCCATAACTTGTCTCGTTATGAACCATAACTTGATAAGTTTGTCCATAACTTACCTGGTTATGAACCATAACTTGACAAGTTATGACCTATTAATTTTTATAACTAAAAATTAGCCTATATACTTTCTCAAACTTTTCATATTGGCCTATTTTCTACTATTTCCGTTATTTTTATCGATCTCTCACTCTCCCTCTCAGACTCACGTTTCTCTCTCTCTCTCTCTCACTCACGTTTCTCTCTCTCTCTCTCTCTCTCTCTCACGTTTCTCTCTCTCTCTCACACTCTCTACATATCTCTTGATTCTCTCAATCTCCTCCGTGGGAGGTGCTATCCAAACTTTTAATTACAGGGTTTCTAACTATTTTCAATGGGTGATTCAACTCTCTCTCTCTCTCACTCTCTCTACATATCTCTTGATTCTCTCACTCTCCTCCGTGGGAGGTGCTATCCAAACTTTTAATTAGAGGGTTTCTACCTATTTTCAATGGGTGATTCAACTTTTAAGTTGGTTTTATGCCTAAAGAGGAATTTTCTAGAGATCATAAGAAGATTGAGGTAGGGTTCTAAATTCCTAACTTTGTGAAATTGGTTGCATGTCTCCAATCCGAGTTCTACCTTCTTATTTTTGTCATGACCCTAAAAGAGGAACCTTAATTATTAGAACAATGCTCCAGAGTCTTTCCTTTATAAATAATATTTAAAACATTCAATTGAATCCAAAGATAATACAACTCTGAAACAACGTCAATAAATACAATTTATATATAGAAATACAATACAATTTCGAATTAAAATCTGTAAAATTAAAAATAGAATGAACCACCTCGAATCTTGCGCCTTCAATCCTATGGCATCAACTTGCCACGCAGCAAATCAAACGGGTAACTCTGGAGGGAGAAAAACATTTAAAGCAAGGGTGAGCCAAATGCACAGTTGGGGAAAAAGGGGTAACGACAATAAAACAAGAAAGGTTAAATAATCAGAAAGACTCGAACACCATCAAAAATAGAATACATAACTCAAATGCGGGAGATGATAATATGTGAAAAACACCTAATGATGACTGATGCCAAGCGGATAATCAAGTATTTGAAAGCTCTTTCAAAAACTATATCATTTTCAAAGTCATTTCAAAAGTGATAAAGTACCCAGTGTCTAAGTAGTATACAAATACTGGGTATTTGTAATTCTATTAGACACTAGGATATCCAAGTAGGTTGTAGATAGAAGAAAGATAAAGATCATACGCCAGTAGTTTGAAATGATCTTTCAAAGTACCGATACGTAATCTAGTGCAAAGCCTTGATATCACCACTCATACTATGAAAGTGGCCTATACGGGTTTTGAGACCTGCCCCTAAAGATACGATCTCCATATCTTAATCTATAGGCCATCATGTTGAAGTCAACTATCTAAAATGCTCATTAGATAGCATTTAAAAACTTAAATATATCATGCTCGAATTATCTCAACTCAAGACTAATCTATTTTCTAAAATTCACTTCTAAAAACCATGATTCACAAAAGTCAAGTCTTTGGGAAGGTTTTGCATATATATAATCGTTATATATATATATATATATATATATACTCTTCAGAATCATTTTTAAAGTCTCCACATCAGTGAAAACTGACTTTTACACTGAGAAGTGAAAATCCATTAAATGTGTTCAAAAGGGAATAGAGATGCAATCTCTTGCTCAAACAAGATCAAAACTCAAGAAATGAACATGCTAAGTTCAATAATCTGTAAAATATCCATGAATGCATAAGCAACGTACTCCAATAAGATCCATTCTCCTCCGTGGGAGGTGCTATCCAAACTTTTAATTAGAGGGTTTCTACCTATTTTCAATGGGTGATTCAACTTTTAAGTTGGTTTTATGCCTAAAGAGGAATTTTCTAGAGATCATAAGAAGATTGAGGTAGGGTTCTAAATTCCTAACTTTGTGAAATTGGTTGCATG